CTCACTGACATGCACAGACAAGCTTATTGGCATACACACACACAAATGTAGTACATACTTACTACAGACAAGCTCTCACACACACACACAAGCTCACTCACTAGAATGCACACACACAAGCTCTCTCACTAGCAGACACATACACACAGACAAGCTCACTCACTAGCAGGCACACACACACACACACACACACAGACAAGCTCACTCACTAGCAGGCACACACACAAGCTCTCTCACTAGCAGACACACACACACAAGCTCTCTCACTAGCAGACACACACACACACACACAAGCTCACTCACTAGCAGGCACACACACACAGACACAAGCTCTCTCACTAGCAGGCACACACACACACAAGCTCTCTCACTAGCAGACACACACACACACAGACAAGCTCACTCACTAGCCGGCACACACACACAGACAGGGCTGGTGCCACCATTAGGTGAAGTAGGCATTCGCCTAGGGCGCCGGCCTGCTGGGGGCGCCCACCAGGAATTTCCTAGTGGGCTCACCCTGTTTTGGGCCTGCAGCGCTGGGCGTGCGGCTCTAGAGCCGCCCCCCCCTCAGCACCGGGTCGCTCCTCCAGGAACCCGAAGGTGGGGGCGCCCAGAAGAGCCCTGTCACAGTATGGCAGAGCAGGCACCTTCTTACCTTGATGACAGGTGCCTGCTCTGCCATCAAATTCCGCTGACCAGAGGAGAGGGGGGAAGGAGAAGGCGGCGAGGGAGGCTGTTCTTGCAGCCTCTCACTCCTCCCTCATGCGCCCTCTGTGATGCTGTGAGCCGGAATATGACATCATTCCGGCCCCAGCATACTAAACGGCGGGCGGGAGGAGTGAGGAGCTGCCCCACACTGGATCCTAGGGAGGTGAGCGTTTAAGTGTTTGTCAGTGAGTGTGTGTGTATGTCACTGATTGTCTGCCTGTGTGTGTCAGTGAGTGAGTGTATGTCTGTCACTGAGTGTGTGTGTGTAAGTGAGTGAGTGTATATCTGTCAGTGAGTGTGTGTCAGTGACTGAGTGGAGTGTATGTCTGTCAGTGAGTGTCTGTGTGAGTGTGTATGTCAGTGAGTGAATGTCAGTGAGTGTGTGTATGTCTCAGTAAGTGTCTGTGTGTTTGTCTGTCATTGAGTGAGTGTGTGTCAGTGAGTGAGTGTGTATGTGTGTGTGTCTGTCAGTGATTGAGTGTCTGCTGGTGAGCTTCTGTGTGTGTCAATAAGTGAGTGTATGTGTGACAGCATGTGTGTATCTGTCAGTGAGTGACAGGAAGGGGCGGCAAAATGGATCTTTGCTTAGGACGGCAAAAATCCTTGCCCCAGCCCTGCACACAGACAAGCTCACTCACTAGCAGGCATACACACACACACACACAGAGACAAGCTTACTCACTAGCAGGTGCGCACACACACACAGACAAGCTCACTCGCTAGCAGAAACACACACACACACACAGACAAGCTCACTCACTAGCAGACACACACACAGACAAGCTCACTCACTGGCAGACACACACACACAGACACACAGACAAGCTCACTCACTAGCAGGCACAGAGAAACAGACACACACACAGACAGACAAGCTCACTCACTGGCAGACACACACACACAGACACACAGACACACAGACAAGCTTACTCACTAGCAGGCACACAGACACAGACAAGCTTACTCACTGGCAGACACACACACACACCTCAGACACACAGACAAGCTCACCCACCTAGCAGACACACACACAGACAAGTTCACCCACACACACACACACAGACAAGCTACTCACTAGCAGACACACACACACAGACAAGCTCACTCACACACACAGACACACAGACAAGCTCACTCACTAGCAGACACACACACAGACAAGCTCACTCACACACACAGACACACAGACAAGCTCACTCACTAGCAGACAGACACACACAGACAAGCTCACACACACACACAGACAAGCTCACTCACTAGCAGACACAGACACACAGACACACAATCACTGTCCTGGCTGAAGCTTACCTGGTAGGTGAAGTTTCCCTTTTGTAGCCTCTTCCTTCCGGCGAGCAACGTGTGGGGGGGCGGGGCTTGCGCGGGGAGGCGGAGCTATGTTAAGGAGGCGGGGCTTGTGTGCGGAGGCGGGGCATGCGGCCGAAATTAAGGTAAATTGTGCCGGGAGACTGACAGGGCTGATCAGGGCTGTCAGACCGGCCCCAGGTGCCGTGGCCCACCGGGAATTTTCCCGGTATCCCGGTGGGCCAGTCCGGCCCTGCTACTGCTCCTATGCCCTCCTATAGCCCCAGATCCCAGCAGACCCCAGGTAAGTTGTTAAACTGTTCTTAAATGGTTTGACTACTTACTCTGGGATGGGGTCTTGGCACTCCTGACACCATAACCACTACACAGAGCTGTAGTGTTTTTGAGTCTGGATTATTTCTTTAAATAATCTACAAGTGCCCCTCCCGAGATCAGGCTCTGGATCCGCCCCTGCTGTATGACAGGATCCTTCAGCCATACACATGCACCTTGGGTCTGTATGTGTTTTAAAACTGACAGTTAGTCTCTATGGTCTCTATGGTTAGTCTCTATGGTCTTCCCTGTTTCACTTCTTGCATAGTAGGTGCAGTGTTTCAAGGAGGTCAGCTTCGGGATTGGAGTCCAGCCTTTGCAACTCTTCAGAAGCCAGGTGTCATAAACCAGCACAACATGAGACTCAGTGCCTGGATAGACCCAGATATGAGGGCAATCCATTGTCATACCATAACCACAATAGCAGACTGCATTGGTTATAATGCCTCGAGTAATCCCTCAATGAGTCCATATATTTCTCCCCACCAGATCCTTCCTTCTGTATCATTATTGTAACAGGTTTTCTATGTAATATCAAAATGTTAATAAATTATATATATATATATATATATACTGAAAACTTCATTGTTCACAGATTCCGCCTATTTACCGGCCAAAGTTCGATGCTATTGAATGCAAAGTGGTTTCTGTAAGGTAAGTTTATTTGTTCATAGAAAGTTACAAGGTGCTGAATTAATTTAATAATTAGTAAACATTCTAAAGTCCTTCAATGACTCCTCTTGGGGATGTAGTGACTGGCTTGGTTAATAAAAAGAGGGAGTCACAGATGAAGAATCACTGTGGTGGATACATGATTTGGAGGTTGGGAAGAGGCGTTGGGTGCCAGGTAAACCTGAGCCTAATCTCTACATAAAATCTGACAGTAAACCTCAAATTGGAGTTAATACAGGAGACTCAGCGAGGGGGCTCATTCTGACACATCGGAATGGAAAACTGTCTATAAAATGTCATTCATATAAACAAAACTTTCTGTAAATGACATTAACATATAAAAGCTTCTAAACCATGTAATTCGTACAAAAAACCTTCTTTAAATAATTTTTGGGTGATCAAATGTCCTGCAGGAAATCTACTTGGTCAAATCAGTATTCAGAATTAATCGTTTTTTTCTGGACATAGACACATTTGGTGACCATAGGGCCTTGTGAACAAGTCAGGAACTAAAACGATTGACCTCTCCTCCCCTAACACGCTCCTCCAATACTGTAACCCAATGAAATACAGGCTGGGTAGAGAAGATGACGCAATGCTGCTTCCCTCCACAACTTGCGCTGAGAGTTTCAGGAAAAATACATAATGATGACCCAAGCATCTCTGTTTGGCTATTTAGTAGAAGCCATGGAACGACCATAATCCTGTCCTTATAGAATCCTCTCCACCATATTAATTTGTAGACCCTGGCCAGATGCACAAACCCTTATTTCCTCCATCTAATTAATATTGGGAGAGTTCTCTGGCAGGAGCCCCAATTAAAACAATCTCTGAAGGCATCGGTTAATGGTTTGTGATACCACATGTAAAACATAGCCTAAACATAGACTGCTGCAGTGGTATTTAAAATGTGAAAGTATAATTAATGCTCGATGTATCCACTGTAACATGTGACGAACCTGGGAATGAGATCGATTGCATTCGGCTACATATTACGGGTTATGGAGGATTTTTATTACTGACAAATAAGGAAAGTGGAAATGTATTAAATCTTAAAAACAAAATAAACTGTACAACAGTACAAAATGATATTTAGATTGAAGTCAACTTCTTCTAACATTACGATTTCCATAATATAAATTATCTATAAATTATCTATATTCTTTCTATTTAATATCTATATATATAACTTTCTCTCACAGGCCTGGATCGATATATGTTTTCCTTGCTATTTTATTTGGAGATCGGTCTCCGACACAAGAAGAGTTGGTCTACATATTCTATCAATTTGTTAAACCTACTAATTACTTTTTTGGAGAGTTACAACTCGAACCTTTCAGTATTCGATCAGGAGGTAAGTGAATGAAAAGATTTGCGAACTGGGACAGAACATCATATTTATGATATCATATATTTTATCAAATATTTGAACAGGCTTTTAAATCTACACTTCATTCGCTAATCACTCCCTAACCCTAAACTTTTTTTCTCTAATCCCTCCCTAGCCCTAAACTTCTTACCTAATCCCTCCCTAACCCTTCACTTCTTACCTAATCACTCCCTAACCCTAAACTTGTTTCCCTAATCCTTCCCTAACCCTAAACTTGTTTCCCTAATCCTTCCCTAACCCTAAACTTGTTTCTCTAATCCATTCCTAACACTAAACTTCTTTCCCTAATCCCTCCCTAACCCTAAACTTGTTTCCTTAATCACCCCCTAACCCTAAACTTGTTTCTCTAATCTCTCCCTAACCCTAAACTTGTTTCTCTAATCCCTCCCTAACACTAAACGTGTTTTCCTAATTACTTCATGTGGAAGGATTTACATTGTGTCTCCTGGTGCTGCACAGTGAATTTTTTTGTTTCGTTGAATGGCTGTTCAGCTTGGAAAATCAGAGTTTAACGATGCTGAACTAAGAACTTGCTGAGATATGTATAATAATATATATTTTATTGCCTGTTAAAATATTAACTTTTTAAATATTACATTTTTATAATTTTTACACCAGATGTAACATTTCTGTTTTGCTTATTTCTATATTCACTGTTTTTCATATGTGCAGATACGCTGGCTCTTGATTTAACACCATCTACGACATCTGTAACATCCCCAGAAGTCACTACATCTGGATCGACTGTAACATCATCAGACACCACCACATCTGGATCGACTGTAACATCCTCAGACACCACCACATCTGGATCGACTGTAACATCCTCAGACACCACCACATCTGGATCAACTGTGACATCCTCAGACACCACCACATCTGGATCGACTGTAACATCCTCAGACACCACCACAACTGGATCATCTGTAACATCCTCAGACACTACCACAACTGGATCCACTGCAACATCCTCAGACACCACCACAACTGGATCGACTGTAACTTCCTCAGACACAACCACAACTGGATCGACTATAACATCCTCAGACACAACCACAACTGGATCGACTGTAACATTCTCAGACACTACCACAACTGGATCGACTGTAACATCCTCAGACACCACCACAACTGGATCGACTGTAACATCCTCAGACACAACCACAACTGGATTGACTGTAACTTCCTCAGACACCACCACAACTGGATCGACTGTAACATCCCCAGACACTACCACAACTGGATCAACTGTAACATCCTCAGGCACAACCACAACTGGATCGACTGTAACTTCCTCAGACACCACCACAACTGGATCGACTGTAACTTCCTCAGACACCACTGCAACTGGAACGACTGTAACATCCCCAGACACTACCGCAACTGGATCGACTGTAACATCCTCAGACACCACCACAACTGGATTGACTGTAACTTCCTCAGACACTACCACAACTGGATCGACTGTAACATCCTCAGACACAATCACAACTGGATTGACTGTAACTTCCTCAGACACAACCACAACTGGATCAACTTTAACATCCTCAGACACCACCACATCTGGATCGACTGTAACATCCTCAGACACCACCACAACTGGATCTAATGCAACATCCCCAGACACCACCACAACTGGATCCCCTGCAACATCCTCAGACACCACCACAACTGGATCGACTATAACATCCTCAGACACCACCACAACTGGATCGACTGTAACATCCTCAGACACCACCACAACTGGATCCACTGCAACATCCCCAGACACCACCACAACTGGATCCACTGCAACATCCTCAGACACCACCACAACTGGACACTATAACATCCTCAGACACTACTACAACTGGATCCACTGCAACATCCTCAGACACTACTACAACTGGATCGACTGTAACATCCTCAGACACCACCACAACTGGATCGACTATAACATCCTCAGACACTACTACAACTGGATCCACTGCAACATCCTCAGACACTACTACAACTGGATCGACTGTAACATCCTCAGACACCACCACAACTGGATCGACTATAACATCCTCAGACACTACTACAACTGGATCCACTGCAACATCCTCAGACACTACTACAACTGGATCGACTGTAACATCCTCAGACACCACCACAACTGGAACAACTGGAACATCCCCAGACACTACCACAACTGGATCCACTGAAGCATCCTCAGAAACCACCACAACTAGAACGACTGTAACGTCCTCAGACACCACCACAACTGGATCCACTGCAACATCCTCAGACACCACAACTGGATCCACTGTATTGTCCCCTGGTGACACCACACCTGTAATGACTGGAACCACCCCGAGTGTGAAACCAACTGGAAAAACTGTGGACAGCACAGCAAGTAAAAAAACTGTTTCCAAATCTGAAGAAACTACAAAATCCCCCAGCTCAAGTAGCACAACATCAAACAAAGTACTAAACTTTACCATTGCTTCCAGTACAAAACCCAGCGGTGATACTGACACTGGAAAACCTACAACTCTGTCCTCTACCACTACAGCATCCCCAACAGCAGCAGGTATGTAGCATCAAAAACGGTTTATATTAAGACTATTGGTAAATATTGTAAAAAAAATAAACATAAAAACTGAGAACATATAGACCTTGGCTCTTCGATCTGTGATCTGCTTTTATAATTAACGATTGGATTTACTTCTTTCCCAACAGGTGTTAATGATGGGAACGGCTCTATACCAGGCTACATCATCGCCCTTATCGTCCTGGTTATTGTAGTATTAGTATTAATTCCAGTGCTGACAATTTGGGTGAGTAATTTATCATTTTCTTATATATCGCTTATTTCAGTACTGGAGACGCGATCTTTCAGAAACCGGGTGTCACACAGAACGCCATTACTCAATCAGTGACAGTATTATTCACTAAAGTCTGAATGGTCTCCTACCGAATGGGGCAAAACCATCTGACTGCATCCTGGGCTATTTGGATTGCAACATCTGGACATTGTTCTCACTATTCAGCCATGTCCAAATTTTACAATTCAGGCCTGAATTTGGTCTGGCCTTAACCCAAACTGAACACTGCTTTACAGCTAAAATCCAGAAATGAATGCTTCGAATCCGGCCCCGGATTTAGATTAATTCTGAGTTTTGTTAAATCCTCCCCCCAACCTTCATCCATTGGCAGTGGGTGGGGGCCTTAATAATAATATTCAGCTTTACATAATTAAACAATGGTGGCTGGACTTCCCATTGTCCATTCCCCCAAGTAGTGACATGTCCACTCTCCTTTCTGCTCTCCCCTGGGTGACATGGGTTTGTAATCTCCTGGCCATTCCCCATTAAACTTAAATAGCCCTACCTACCCCTTTACCCTAATAATAGAGAGAGGGCAATACAACTAATACCATCAGAAGTCTTCTTTAGTCTAACTCCTCTTTTCTTTAGAGAGTTTCATGAATAACCCAGTAAATGTTCCAAAATGGAAGGTCAGCCATTTAGTTATAAGACATTTTTTTTAAGCGGCTGCTAAAACTTACAAAGAATACTGCAAAGCTTCTATAGACAATGCTTGGACTGTTACGGGTATGTTAGATCAATAACTGGATTTCACAGTCTCAGAGAATGTGTGCAATCACTATGTAGAGATATGAGGATCCAGGATAGGTTAGATACCTCTCCCAGACATTATTCCTTGATCAGATTCTTTTCAATACTTGCAAATGGCACTAATCTGGAAATGTGTGGAATTATTCTGAATCCTACATTGTTTTCCTTTTTGATATCCAGGGTATTAGGAACGGTTTCTGTCAAAGGCTGGTGGACGCTTGCGGTCGAGTTGGTGTTTGAATTCTCACTTTGTGCAGGAAAAAATAGTAAGTAAGAACGTCTAATTAGCTTTTATTCCAAAAATCGATTTCTATAGTAGTACAGGAAGGGGCTTGCTGTAACCCCTACAGACTGGGTCAGCCAAAGCTATGTTACTGGAAACAGAATCAGAAAAAAACAAGAAATGTCCTCTTCAGTGTCATGTTTATATTTGGTCGTTCTTTGCAGCAATGAATAACAATATGTTAATTATACATTCAGCTAGATTATATACCTTTTACGTGGTTACACAAGTCTAATTTATTGTCACACATATTATATTGAATTGTATTCTCATGAACACCTTCAAACTGGATCATTTGTTACATTAACAATAATATCAATCTTGTCATTAACTTGGAGAGTCTCCCAGATTCTTTGATTATATATTAAACATACAAGGTTATTACAAAATGGAGGACTTGCTTACAAAATGGTAGAAACATTGTTAGCTGTCCAATTTCCCACACCAAGCTACATCCTCAGTTATTGCAGGACTACAACTCCCATCCTGCTTTGCAAGCCTCAAAGGTGGCAAAGTCATAAGGATATTGTTGTTCTACAAACTTGTGAGGACTGTATATTAAACAGTGATTGTAGACTTAATTGGGGATTTGATCTGTACATGTGTATGTATTTCCTTGAGCGCGTGTTTCTTTGTACACAAGTTTTTGTGTGCGTGTGCAAGCATTTTGCTGTGCTTGTGCATGTGTTTCTGTGTGCTGTATGCAAGCGTACTTTGCAAGTTGTAACTATGTTTTTTTTTCGTTATAGTATCAACAAGTATAGTGTTACAAAATTATAACATTTCCATAACATTAATAATTGTACTTCTGCTTCAATCACTGTTATAGGTGTTTTTGAAACGTCTGTGTATAAGAGCCCTAAAGTGAACAAATCAAGAAGTTGTGTCATAAATACGAGAAGAATCCAAAACAGCAAAATTAATTCTCTGACACCAAAGATATAAAAGTCGTCAGTGATTGAAGTGCGACGGTCTTTCAAGAACTGTAATTAGCTATAATTAGAGCTGAGACACACAAAAAAAAAATAGCTAAATGGGTCATTATTTCCATCTGCTCAGGATCTGCCATAACGCTACTGAACACAATATATGCAGTGATAGAAGCCTGGGTTATGGCCGTCTCTGCACATCTCTCTTCGCACTGCGTGGGGGGACCACATTACTCTCAGTCCTTACCGCCATACTTGAAACTGATTGAAGACCTGTCGCTGTGCGGTTTTATATGTATACAATATATTTATACATTAATAGAGTATTTATTATAAATTCAATTTTATTATTTAAACTTGCCAGTCCTTGGTTGGGCTCAGTATATGACTTTGCACTTTTATGTTAATAAATTATTTTTACTTGTTAGAAAATAAAATGACCCGATGAATGAATGTCTTCTAAAGTCAGTGGAATCCTTAATGTACAATGTAAAAAATAAACTAATTACGAATCATTTAAATCTGATGTCGTTGTTATATAATAAAATTCACTGCTTAGTTACAACCAATGTGGAATTCTTTTAAGCCATGAAACCATGTTTCTATAAGTCTCCTGTTATGTACACTGTGACGCTCAAAGCCCCTTATTTTAGTGTGTTACTGCCAAGGCCGGCCTTATGTAGTGTTTGTATAAGGCTATTTAATTCAGATTATAAAGGCCCATGTGTCAATGCAAAGTGCACACAGTATTAGGCATGTGCAATTTGTTTCATTCCAAATGTACATTAGGACGAATTTCGTGAAATTTGGACATTTGGATGCTTCAGAATATCCGAAAAGTGCCGAAGTGCCAAACAGAATTGCCAAAGTCCCGAATTGTCGAAGTTCCGAAGTGCTTCGGATTTCTGAAAAGTGACAAAACAAGAGAGAGGGAGGGAAAGTTACTTGAATGATAATAGGAATCTTGACCAATAAGCTAATTCCTGGCACTGGGAGCCCTATTGATGATTAAGTGGGTGTGGTGGTTAGGGTTAGGGGTAGGCTTAGGGAGCCCTACAGATGTTCCAAATTGCCAAACTTCCGAATTTCAGAAGTCCTGAACTGAACCGAATGCCATTGGTCCGAACTGCCGAAGCAGCCAAATTTTTTTGACATACCCCAATTTCCAAACCAAACCAAATTTTTTGTCCATGGACATCCCTACACAGTACCACAGTCAGACATACAGTCAGATGCACTCAGCTATACACATATACTTTTAAATATAGCCACATGCACATAGTTCCAGGCGCATAGCCACTTACACGCATACCGTCACATACAGTCATGGATAGTCTCACAAACACACACATACACAGTAACAGCCAGACAGTCCCATACACAGTCAGTCGTACACATAATTACAGGCAGTAACATACACAGTAGTCTCACACACACACACACACACACACACACACAAAGTAACAGGCAGCCACAGGCAGACAGTCACACACACAGTCAATGCAGACAGTCACACACACAGTTACTGGCAGTCACATACACAGTCACACACACAGTTACAGGCAGACAGTCACACACACATGGTCACAGACAGACTGTCATAGGCACACAGTTACAGACAGTCACACACACAGTTACATGCAGTCTCACACACACACACACACACACACACACAGTTACAGGCAGACAGTCACACACACAGTTACCGGCAGTCAGTCACACACATAGTTAAAGACAGACACACACACAATTACAGTCAAACAGTTACATACACAGTCACAAGCAGACAGTCACACACACAGTTACACATACTGTAACAGACAGACCGCCATGTGCACACAGTTAGAGACAGACACACACACACACCAGTTACAGACAGAAAGCTACAGATAGTCTCACACACACACACATAGTTACAGCTAGACAGTCACACACATTTACAGGCAGACAGACACAAACAGTTATAGACACACACACACAGTTATGCACACACACACACACAGTTACAGACACACACAGACCGGTACCTTTCTCCATCATGCTCTGGAAGGGGGAGGAGGGTGGAGGCTGCAGTCCCTGTCTAGCAGTTGGGGATGCAGGAACTCCTTTCTGCTTCCCCTCTCAGTGTACAGAATTACCAGGCAGCGGGTAAAGGCCACACTTAGCTCCGTCCCTGCTGGCAATCTAGCCCCAACCTACTGGTGATTTAGCTCCACCCCACTGTCGATTTAGCCCCACCACCGCTGCCAAATTAGCTCCACCTCCATATTTCTTGCCCTGCCTCATCACCACCGGACCCCAAGTGTGGCCGCACAGCTCACACACCCCTAACGCATGCCCTGTTAACTGGTTTATCCTGGTTTCTTATCTTTTGTGCCATCAGTATTCTCAATACGTTAAATTCTAAAACCCCATGTGGGGAAGGTCCTGCTGCAACAGATATAAACAGATCACTTTCTTTCAACATTTTTGATTTGGTCTCAATGTTTTCCTCCACCTGGTTACTACCCTGTACCTCTACCACAATACCCACAACAGTTCTTGGTGACCCAGATCTGACGTAACAAAACATTCAATTCACATTTGCTTTCAACTAAAGGCTTTAGTTTGATATTTTTGGATAAACTTTTGAACTTGTTTAATATTTATTTATTCTTACATTTCTACAGTACCAACATATTCTGCAGGTCCTGCTCAAACCAGCTTACAATGATCTTTTAAAATGATTGAATATTTTGAAAGAGTTTTATATTTTCACATTTTTATATATTTTTATATATAGTATATTTTTGATATTTTAATATTTTGAAGAAAAAAAATCATTTTTAAAGTTTTTCTAAAAATATTAAATAGTTGGAAAAGCATACCCAAAAATATTAAATTGAGGCCAATAGTATCCTCTTAGAAACTACAATAAAAACATGGCAACATTCCATTCTTTGTGTTATTAGTTTAAGCAGACTGTGATTGTCTATTGTTGTGACTTAGATGATGATCAGATCACATTTTATGTCCAATTTGTGCAGCAATCCATATCATTCCAAAGGGTTCACATACTTTTTCTTGCAACTGTATATATAAAATAATTTTACATATATATTTATATAATAATTTAACATAATTAGGTCCTTTTATTAATTACAATTTGCAGGACCTGCCTGACAACCCAGGCCGAAAGTATAGGGAATTTAATTTGCTGGCACTATATTTAACCCTATAACTTTCCAAGACACCATAAAACCTGTACATGGGGGGTACTGTTCTACTCGGGAGACTTCGCTGAACACAAATATTTGTGTTTCAAAACCGTAAAATGTATTACAATGATGATATCATCAGTGAAAGTGAAGTTTTTTACATTTCACATAAACGGCACTTACACCGACGATATTATTGCTGTAATACTTTTTACTGTTTTGAAACGCAAATATTTGTGTTCAGCAAAGTCTCCTGATATCATTCCAAAGGGTTCACATACTTTTTCTTGTCTGCAGTGCTTTATAACGTTGCAGAGAAGATGAATCAATAACAGACAGAGTGTAGCAGAATGGATGCCTAAATACACTTCTATTCCTGGTTAGTTTACCGAAACAACTCTGTGTGGTCCCCTTGTTAGCACCTCCTAATCACCAACCACCCCTGGCTGTTAACCACAAACGAGCAATTAGTTAAAGTGCTTTCCCTGTGTGGCCGCCACTCGTATAACAGAATACACATGCTCCAAGAATTGGCGGCCATTTTGTCTCCCGAATGTAGGCAGCGGTAAATGGTCGTCAACGACATGAAGCTGTAGCTCAGATACACATCCCCCGCGAACAGGAAAACTTGTACCGCTGCCCATTCAATGTCTCAAACAGTTAGGAGAACGGCGTTCTGGTGGCATGAACTACCGAACAGGGGGAACATTCACTTCCTAACAGCTAGAGGGAGCATTCATCAGTGTTCGTGTAAGAACCCACGAAAGATGACAGGTCATTCACTTGTTTTCTGTAGAACTATTTTTGGGCATCACCTTGTGTCCAACCGGTAAAAACTTCATTCAAATGGCGTTTCTAAACCACCAAAGGAATCTGAGCGCTATTTCAACAAAGTGGGCGCTCAGACCCCAGCTATTATTATTATTATTTCTATTTTTATAGCGCCAACAGATTCCGTAGCGCTTTATAATAATTATGAGAGGGGGGATTTAACTATAAATAGGACAATTACAAGAAAAACTTACAGGAACACTAGGTTAAAGAGGACCCTGCTCAAACGAGCTTACAGTCTATAGAAGTATATAGTTATTCGGTGATAAAACGTTTCTGGGGTTCCTTTGTAGTTATAATGTATTTTTAGGGTGATTTATGATATTTTCAATGATTTCCTGTAACTGAAAATTGAGTTATAGTTTTCTCACTCAATTATCTCTCCTGGTAGGAAAACCCTTGTATTTTTGATATGGAAACCCCATGCTAGTGGTCAGTGCATAAAAGCCGTGTGTGTATGTGGCCAAAATAAAATCAGTTGACTCCCAGAACTATGTGTCATCTAGTTGCTGGGGGAAAAGGGCCTTGGATTACTACAGTGCTTCTTTCAGCTTCGAGGAAGGAAAAGCGGAAATACCTAGTCGTGGTATCGGAGCTCCACTACAATTGGTGGCAAGCGGCAGGATACAGGCCTCACAGAGTAAGGAAGCAGCGGTTCGTATACACTTTAGTTATATGAACGGAATCGTGAAGCAGCAGTTCGTACGCAAGCATCGGTTCGTATGTGTTCGGTTATATGAATGGAATCGTGAATGGAGATGAACTATGCCATATTGCTGGAAGCAAGAGGGCAGATATCAAGTAATAAAACGCTGAGCTAAAAGAGGGAGACCGGTCCTGCAGCATTACAACGGAAACTATGGCGATGGAATTTGATCGGGAAGTAAAATGCCGTCAAGCCTTACGGAGAAAACCCATCAGTAGAAGTCATCACAACAACCCTCACCCAAGTAGATGCCTACATGTCGGCACAGGTGGAACGAGAGAACGAACTTCAGTTAGCTGAATAGCGCGCCCTGGAAAGATTGCCAGCTACCACACAGACACTGGAGGTGAAGTGTAATGCTCTCAGGGAGATTTCATTTGGAACTCAACCACAGATGAATAAGAAAATATATTTTATTTAAATAAAGTAATTTAACTTTGGCAGTCTTCTGCAGCAATACAGTTTTGAAATAATAATGCATAAATGAAGGTAGTCTTGTTTCAGTTTGCTCCACAAGATTATAGCATGAAATATAAG